ATTATTATTATTATTATTACTGTTATTATTATTATTATTGTTACTATTATTATTATTATTATCACCATCATCATCATTACGATCATCATCATTATTACCATTACCACTGAATGATAATTATCATTAATATTATCATAATTATTATCATAAGTATTATCATAATTATTATCATAAGTATTATCATAATTATTATCATAAATATTATCATAATTATTATCATTATCAACATCATTATCATTATTATCATTAGTGTCATTTTAATAGATATTAATAAAACTTATCAATTATCACTAATAACTATATAACTATACATGAATATAAAATTAGTACAACTCGAGGAACTACCAAACAGCTCTTTCGGAAAGGCGCACGGCAGGCTAACGCTAGCAGATGCTCACTTCTACGACCATTCCCACGATTTTCTGAGTTAGGATTTAACGGGAAATAATGAAAATGTACTCTATATTTAGCGATTTCCCAAGTCCCTGTTTGAGCAAGAAATTAAGGAGCTTTTATTCTTATGTTTAGCAGGTTTTAAAGTCCAGTCTAGCGATTGGTGGAAATATCCATGGCAACACTGTTGTGGCATAAACAAAAACAACGCTCGCACATCCAGCCAATACCTTCCTATTCCCACGTTCCTCCTGTTCGAAGGGGTTTCCCCAGGTCGTCTTGATATGACCTGGGAATACCCACAGGTCGACTTAAGAAATCCAGTCAGCAAGGATATCTCTTACCTTATTGGGTTTATAAATATCTAAATATATGTATATGAAACCTTGGTAGATATTGGCATCAGAGATCCTGAGAGTTGATTTATTCAAATACTATTTTCAGTGTTCATCTCTTTTTTCTCCGTTGTTCTTCTGTGAGAGTAAGCATTTCTCACATTGTCAGATGACAAGCGAGCTGAACCTGTAGTTTCTAACTGATTTCTCTAATATTTAACAACAAGTACAATGTTCTATATATCCCTCTATCTATCTCTAAATACAAATTGGCCACCAGGTGTTGAGTTGCCAGTACTGGTGTGACTGCAGGGTTGCCAACTCTACAGAATATACATACACAGTAAAGTATACGTGTCTTCACAGACTGCCAATAGATAGAAGATAGATACAGACCGATAGGTACAGTACATAAATATAGATATATACAATAGATACATAGATAATGATTTATACAGTATATAGATATAGATATATATAGCTATATATAGTAGATAGATTAGTACATATACATACACATTAGATATATATATATATAAATATATATATATATATATATATATATATATATATATATATATATATATATATATATGCAGTAGATAGATACAGATATCTGCAGTAGATACATATAGATATACACAGCAGATATCTAGATATATATATATATATAGAGAGAGAGAGAGAGAGAGAGAAATATATGTATACATACCGTACAATTCCATGCATGTATGTTGTTTTACTTTTAACATGCATCCGTTCGTTGTCTGAAATTAGCGAATAAAGAGGAAGAAGTTGAAGAAGAAGAAAGAAAAAAGTGAGCAAACCAGAATCCGAGAAGGACAACGGGGGTGGGTGGGGGGGGGTGGCAAGCCTTTATGCACTTCTCTGCATTCCTATATTATCTATGACACAATATACACTCTATAACATTTACTTAAGGGATCTAAGAGTCGTATAATAAAGACTATGGTATATGATAACGCTTTCACCACAATCTTTGTTACGAAAGCATATATAGTTGAATTTTATTTCTATATTACATGTTTTGTATTCATATGAATGTTATATTTTTATCTGCCGTAATCATAAGTACTTGGAGGAAAAAAATAATATAAAATAATTTTCGGAAAAATTTCACTTGCAACCCCTTCCTACCTCTTCGACGCCTTCCACAGATAAAGAGAAGAATATATGAGAAAAAAAAAGATAAGAAGTATCTTCACTAACTCTTCGACTTTTACATAGACGGAGAGAAATGTAGATAAAAAGAGAAAAATAAGTAGATAATTGGCTCGGGAATGAAACCACGATGTCAGTAGAACGTGCTTAATCTAAGTATGGATTATGTTGTATCATAGTTATCGTTAATGGTGGTGTGAAGATGGTAATGACAGTGATGGTGATTATGATAACGATAATGTCAATGATAATGTTAACAATAATGATAACTATATACATAATAGTAATAGTAAAACTCGTGATAATAATGATAATAAGTTATAAAGATATTTCCAATATCATATATATATATGTATATATATATATATATATATATATATATATATATATATATATATATATATGTATATTTCTTTGTCAGTTATCTTTATTATTGATATTATTATCAGTATCTTTAATATCGCTATCATTACTAAAGCGATAATAAGACAATGATAATATTAATAATTAAAACTATTAAGATTATAACTATTCTTATCGATTCATACATTAATTTATCCATTAATTGTAAATAAAAGAAAACTACACAATATAGCCAAAAAATCGTTTTATTATCACAGTGCAATTGAATGAATTACGGAAAAGAGGGACGGTTTAATGATCACAAATTAATTTAATTATCTCCTGTCATCTTCAATATTTTGAAGAGGTTTGTATTTCTGATTGAACAATTGCATCCCAGTCACATACAAAATATTACATAAATCAGATTTTTTAGGAATTCATAATTGTGTTTTCTTTCCAGGAAACCAAATAGCAATGAATAAAACCCAAACGCTTGCTTTACACGTAACAAATTCGACCCTGAACACACACTAAATAACAAAAAAAAAGAGTATAAAATCCCCCCCCCCACTTTAATAAGGAATTATACAAGCGTCACAAGAGTGGGGACACGTAGGGATCATTTGCAGAGGATGCGTGACGCAATTTCCTTCCCTTGCCCACGCGGCGCAGTTGTGGTTCCTGTCCCGACATTCTGGGTCTGTAACAGAAATCGAGAAGATGAGAAGAGGTACAGGTGGTTAGTTAGGGTGTGTGTGGTGTGTACGTGTATGGAGGTGTATGTGGATTCATTTTGGGGTGCAGGCGCATACGTATTTACACATATGTGTACATATGAAAATACAGGTACGTGGCAAAAGTAAATATAAGCAACACATATACAAACATACACACACACACATACACATACACACACACACACACACACACACATATACACACACACACACACACACACACACACACACACATACACACACACACACACACACACACACACACACACACACACACACACACACACACACACACACACATACATTCATACACACACACACACACACACACACTCACACATACACATACATACACACACACACACACACACACACACACACACACACACACACACACACACACACACACACACACACACACTCACATACACATATACACACATACACACACGCACACACACAGACACACACACACACACACACACTCACACACACACACACACTCATACACACATACACATACACACACACACACACACACACACACACACACACACATACATAGACATACACACACACACACACACACACACACACACACACACACACACACACACACACACACACACACACACACACACACACACATATATATATATATATATATAATCACACAATATGAACACATAGAACTGTATATACCAGTACCAATAATAACAGAAATAACAATAAATATAGCAACAACAGTAATCAACACAAACACGACACCAACAAAACCCCATTTACGAATAACAAACAGTATTCAAAATAGAAAACTATAAACAGAAAAGAACATGACAAAAATAACAAATAAATTATCCAGAATAATGCAGAACGGAAGAAAACATAATAGAATAATGGAGAAAAAAAGAAATAAGATCAGATAAAAGAGAATATGAGCAGAATAAAATAAGAATCAGTATAGAAAAGAATGGAAGATATGAGGATAGAATTAAACAGAATAGAATGAAAGAGAAAAGAACAGAAAAAGAACAAAACAGAATTAAATAGAATGGAACAAATGAAGACCAGATACAAGAGTAGAAGTGAGCAGAATCGAATAAAAAGTAGAAAAGAATAAATCAATAGAAAACACGGGACCACAAACTCACCTAAACAGAGGTTACAAGACACGGGGCAGTTTTGGATCATGAACAGCTGGTCCTGCCGACAACCCCCGTTGCGCGCCCATTGAACGCACAAGGGCGTGTGGTCCTCGCAGCTTCCTGAAGGAGAGATGAGGAGGAGAGGGAAGGTTATATGAGGGTAGGCGTGTCCAAGGGGAGTCTCGGACCATTTGCGTTTATTTTGCCGATTTTAGCTTCCTTCTATAACATCGCCTTTGCACTAAAGGGATGGGATGGAGTGAACTAGCGTGGTTATAACGAAGCTCATGTTATAGATGTTGTTTAGAATGAGAAAACATTTGATGAAAGTACTTTCAGACAATTGATTTGAGAACGTGCACACACACACACACACACACACACACACACACACACACACACACACACACACACACACACACACACACACACACACACACACACACACATATATATATGTGTGTGTATATATATATATATGTATATATATATATATATATATATATATATATATATTTATATATATATATATATATATATATATATATATATATATATATATATATGTATATATATATATATGTATATATATATGTATATATATATATATATATATATATATATATATATATATATATATATATGTATATCACTGTTTATGTGTGTCTGTGCGCGCATATAAAATCGTTTTCCGTGTAACTATGTGCCCGGCATCTACTACGCATATACATGTGTAACTCCCATGGATGAATAAGCATGTCCTAAATTTACACATATAAATACGTAAGTCCACAAACAGATATCTATCGAACCAAACATACAAACTAATCTCCTTCGCGCCCCAGATAATTAGAAAACACTAA